CATGGCAATATGTGATCATTTATATTTATGTTGTGTCTCTTTGTGTTCCTTAAGTAACTAAGTATTTACAGTAAGTCTTCATGCACACAAGGCATTTAAAAAAAATGTGCTGCAAAGCCAGTACTGGCACCAGGGAAAAGCAGCATAAAAAAATTATTTTAGCTGCGTTTTTGCACAAGCGTTTAGCTGCATATAGCCACGTTAGTGTTTAGAAGTGTTTTTTAAAATAAACACTGCCCTCTTCTATTTTTCCATTCCCAAAATGTCCCAGAATACATATAATCATTTTTCATTGCCATTTTGTTTGGAGAGAGAGGAGAGAGAGCATCTGTGAGTATTTTATCGCTGTAAAATGGATCCTGTTGTTCTCAAAATTGATGAGGCAATCCTACTGAATGTGTTACGGAGGCCGAGGAGGAGACAGCTGGAGGAGGAGATAAGCATCTGTTGTTGTCATTTCTGGATGCATCCTATTATATCACAGCATCTCTCTTTGGGGTACTTTTCCAACTTGTATGGCCAACTATGCATGCATCCAGAAAAATTTTACAACTTTACACGGATGTCTGTTGCTGTGACCTGTTGGAAAGGCTTGGACCAAGACTGGAAAGGATGGACACTCAAATGCAAATGAGTATATCACTGAAGGAACAGCTGCTTGTGACAATCAGGTATGTTACATCTTTTCCAGAAACATTTCCAGATATATTTTTGTTTTAATTATTTTATTTTTACCCTTTTTTGTTTACATTTATACTATATTTGAAATGTTGATAATTGTATGTGCATGTATTGTGTATTCAAAAAAGTATTCTCAAGTCTTTATGCACCCTACTTGAGCGATATACATTTGTGGTACAAAGTGCAGCAGAAGCAGGCACATGGGTTGCACAGATCTAAAACGCATCCACACTGCGCTCTCCTGCTGCACTTCCAACAGCAGCGCTAGTACCCTGTCCTCAGTTTCATTGCTGAAACCGAAACCGTGCCCCTCTAACGCTGATTATGTCCATGGCCACAGGCAACAATCTAGTTCCACAGAGTCCTGAAAAAAAAATATAGAAAAGAAGAGCACAAATCCATGGAAATGTTTAGATAGATAGATAGATAGATAGATAGATAGATAGATAGATAGATAGATAGATAGATAGATAGATACTGGACACAGTGGGGTTGATTTACCAAACGCAAATAGGCCATGCACTGCAATTGCAGTTGCTTTAGATCCAAGGGGAAGCTCTGAAATGAGGCAAAGCTCTGCTTGTTTCTTTCATCCAATCATGTGCAAGCAAAAAAGCTGTTTTTTTTATTTTCTTGCATTTTCCCCTCAGATCTAGAGCAACTTCACTTTAGGTGCACAGCCTATTTGCCTTTAGTAAATCAACCCCAGTGAGTCATCAGTGATGTCAGCTATTGGAGGGGGGAACATTGCTACCTGAAGCACTTGTGGAAGACTCCCTTACCAGCACATCTAGATCCACTGCTTCCTTCACCTCACTCCTATCTTGGATGTTTGATGTTGTTCTGAAAAGTGGAAAATAGAATATGTAAAACAAGAAAAAAAGGACAAAAAAGGAAAAATTATCCAAATAAAATTACAAAAATTATCCCAAAAAATACAAAAATCATCCAAAAAAAAAAAAAAAACACAATCTCATATTTCCCCTCCCCTAAAAATAAGCAATTTTATCAAAAGGCTGCAGATAACAGCAGATAGCAAACCAAAGAAAAAATATTGCTGAATAATAAACACAAATTAAACATAAATTGCTGCAGAAAAATTAGCAATTAAAAAAAAATAATAAAAAAATTGATAAAAAAAAAAATGAACAAAGGAAAAAAAAACAACTATTCTATTGTGTTGGAAATCATTGATTGCCGGAGGAATAGTAAGTTGTTGTGGTAAACATGCTGCTTCTTCTGCTGTGCTGGTGCTCCACTGTGCATGGCCTTCTCTTCCTCTGTGAGATCCCTCCTAACCCTATCCCGCAGGGATTTCCTGCATTTGCTCAATATATGGGCTAAATAAAACACAAATATGGAAAAGAAGGTTAATCTGCAATCTTAATGCAAACATATCATGCATTTTGTATACTGGACAATCTTCTTTCCTTTTTCTGCGATGTAGTCAATTGGTCCCAGTTTGGAGTCAAGGCTGAGGTAATGTCCATCCATAGCTTTGCTTTCTTTTTCCAGTCATTGTAGAGGACATGTGAAACATCCCACAATTCTGCATGGGCCTCTACAGTAGAGATAAGCTCTGTCTGGGACACGTCTGTAGCCATCTTTCCTCTTCACAACCACACAGTTGAGCAAAGGACACTTGGGTAATGTGAAGGACAGCAATTTCCTGGTTTAAGTGTTGTTACATTGACCAATCACATTACTAGCGCTGGAAAACGCTTGATGCAGCTAAACACAGCTAAATATGGCATGCTGCATTTAGGCGTGATTACACGTGTTTAGGCACTTCAAGCATTTTTATAGCTGAAAATTGCAGCTTCAAAACGCACTGGTCCTGGGTTTTTCTTTTACAGCTTCTAAAAGCTACTGCTATTAAAAGTTGCTAGAAGTCTATGTGTGCATGGACACATAGGATAACATAGTAGGGCATTTGAAAGCTGTAAAAAAAAAGCATGATGCCCCTGATAGCGGCTGCAAAACATCCTGTGTGCACGAAGTCTATTGTAGGCCATAGACAGGTCAAAAATCGGCCGATTTTTCTTTTTAAAAAAATGAAAAATCGGTCGTTCAAGAGGCCGACGTTACCAGCAATGGTAAAAAAAAATCGGCCGATTTTTATCCCGTCTACAGCCGGCAAAAAGTGTCCCTGCAGAGAGCTCCGCTATTTCTTCTGACAGTTCCTTGACATTTATATCGGTTGCAACAATGTATCTATTTGTATCCATTTAGGATACAGATGTTTTTATTCAGAAACAAATAAATACATTGTTGCAACCGCTATAAATGTCAAGGAACTGTCAGAAGAAATAGCGGAGCTCTCTGCAGGGACACTTTTTGCCGGACGGAATTCCTCTTCTTCTTCATCCTCTTCTTCTTCATCCTCTTCTTCATCTTCTTCATCTTCTTCTTCTCCACCTCTCTTCATCTTCTTCTTCTTCTCTTCTTCCTCTTTCTTCTTCTCTTCTCTTCCTCCTCTTCTTCATCCTTTTCTTCTTTCTTCTTTTTCATCCTCTTCGTTCTTCTTCTTCTCTGCTTCTTTATCCTTTTTCATCTTCTCTTCTTCATCTTCCTCTTTATCTTCCTTTTCTTCTTCATCCTCTTCTTCTTCATCCTCTTCTTCATCTTCTCTTCTTCTTCTTCTTCTTCTTCTTCATCCTCTTCTTCTTCATCCTCTTCTTCTTCTACTTCTTCTTCATCCTATTCTTCTTCCTTCATTCTTCTTCTTCTACTTCTTCTCCTTCATCCTCTTCTTCTTCTTCTTCTTCTTCATCCTCTTCTTCTTCTTCTTCCTCTTCTTCATCCTTCTTCTTTTTCATCCTCTTCTTCTTCTTCATCCTCTTCTTCTTCTTCTTCTTCTTCTTCATCCTCTTCTTCTTTCTTTTTCATCCTCTTCTTCTTCTTCATCCTCTTCTTCTTCTGCCTCTTCATCCTCTTCTTCTTCTGCCTCTTCTGCTTCTTCATCCCTCTTCTTCTTCTTCTGCCGCTTCTTCTTCTTCTGCTTCTTCGTCTTCTTCTTCATCCTCTTCTTCTTCTTCATCCTCTTCTTCTTCTTCTTCATCCTCTTCTTCTTCTTCTTCATCCTCTTCTTCTTCTGCTTCTTCATCCTCTTCCTCTTCTTCTTCATCCTCTTCTTCTTCATCCTCTCTCTTCTTCTTCTTCTTCATCCTCTTCTTCTTCTTCTTCTTCTTCTCTTCCTCTTCTTCTTTATCCTCTTCTTCATCTTCCTCTTCTTTTTGTCTTCCTCTTGCAGGTCACTGCTCATGTGCAGATTTTTTTTCGGTAAAATGCTCGTGCCGATTTTTTTGCCGCGTAAATATTTTTTTTTCCGACTTTACCGATAAAAAAAATCTGCCAAAATACCGAAAAGTGGCCGAACATTTAGCCCACTAACGATCCGAAAATCGTCCAATTTTATTTTCGGCCAAAAAATCGGCCGATTTTCGACCCATCTATGGCCTGCATTAGTCTGCAGATATATGCTGTGAGTTGTTTCTTTATGTTATTTATCATTTTCTGTAAAGTATATTATACACAGCCTTTTACATAGCACATTTGTATATATAAAAAAAAAAAGATTGGAACAGTATCTCACAGAAGTGAGTACACCCCTCACATTTTTGTAAATATTTTATTATATCTTTTCACGTGACAACACTGAAGAAATGACACTTTGCTACAGTGTAAAGTAGTGAGTGTGCAACTTGCATAACAGTGTAAATTTGCTGTCCCCTCAAAAAAAACTCACACAGCCATTATTGTTTCAACCACTGACAACAAAAGTGAGTACACCCCTAAGTGAAAATGTCCAAATTGGGCCCAAAGTATCAATATTTTGTGTGGCCACCATTATTTTCCAGCAGTGCCTTAACCCTCTTGGGCATGGAGTTCACCAGAGCTTCACAGGTTGCCACTGGAGTCCTCTTCCTCTCCTCCATGACAACATCACAGAGCTGGTGGATGTTAGAGACTTTGCGCTCCTCCAACTTCCATTTGAGGATGCCCCACAGATGCTCAATAGGGTTTAGGTCTGGAGACATGCTTGGCCAGTCCATCATCTTTACCCTCAGCTTCTTTAGCAAGACAGTGGTCATCTTGGAGGTGTGTTTGGGGTCGTTATGTTGGAATACTGCTCTGCAGCCCAGTCACTGAAGGGCGGGGATTATGCTCTGCTTCAGTATGTCACAGTACAAAGTTGGCATTCATGGTTCCCTCAATGAAGTGTAGCTCCCCAGTGCCGGGAGCACTCATGCAGCACTCAGATCATGACACTCCCATCACCATGCTTAACTGTGGGCAAAGAAACACTTGCCTTTGTACTCCTCACCTTGTTGACACCATCTGAACCAAATAAGTTTATCTTGGTCTCATCAGACCACAGAACATGGTTCCAGTAATCCATGCCCTTAGTCTGCTTGTCTTCAGCAAACTGCAGGCATTCTTGTGCATCATCTTTAGAAGAGGCCTCCTTCTGGGATGACAGCCACGTAGACCAATTTGATGCAGTGTGCGGCGTATGGTCTGAGCACTGACAGGCTGACCCTCCACCCATTCAACCTCTGCAGCAATGATGGCAGCACTACATACAGTTGCAAGAAAAAGTATGTGAACCCCTTAGGATTACGTGGAGTTTTGCATGAATTGGGCATAAAATGTGCTCTGAACGTCATCTAAGTCACAACAATAGAAGAACACAGTCTGCTGAACATAATACTACACAAACATTAGATGTTGCCATGGTTTAATTGCACATAACATGTAAAATTCACAGTGCAGGGAGGAAAAAGTATGTGAGGCCCTAGCTTAATGACTTCTCCCAGAGCTAACTGGAGCCAGGAGTGAGCCAACCTTGACTCCAATCAGTGTGATGATATTGGATGTGTTGCTGACAGCTGTCCTGCCCTTAAAAAACACACACCTGTTTTGGTTTTACTGGTTTCAAGAAGCACTGTCTGATGTGAACCATGCCTCGCAGAAAAGAACTCTCAGAAGACCTACGATCAAGAATTGTTGACTTGCATGAAGCTGGAAAGGGTTACAAAAGTATCTCCAAAAGCCTTGATGTTCATGTGTCCACGGTAAGACAGACTGTTTACAAATGGAGAAAGTTTAGCACTGTTGCTACTCTCCCTAGGCATGGTCGTCTTGTAAAAATGACTGCAAGAGCACAGCACAGAATGCTGCATGAGGTAAAGAAGAATCCCAGAGTGTCAGCTAAAGACCTACAGAAATCTCTGGCACATGCTAACATTTTTGTTGACACATCTACAATAAGGAAAACATTAAACAAGAATGGAGTACATGGGAGGACACCACGGAGGAAGCCATTGCTGTCCAAAAAGAATATTGCAGCACGTTTGAAGTTTGCAAAAGAGCACCTGGATGTTCCACAGCACTACTGGCAAAATATACTGTGGATAGATGAAACCAAGATTGAGTTGTTTGGGAAGAACACACAACACTATGTGTGGAGAAAAAAAGGCACAGCACACCAACATCAAAACCTCATCCCCACTGTAAAACATGGCGGAGGGAGCATCATGGTTTGGGGCTGCTTTGCTGCCTCAGGGCCTGGACGGAGTGTTGTCATTGATGAGAAAATGAATTCCAGAGTTTATCAAGACATTTTGCAGGAAAACGTACGACCATCTGTCCGCCAACTAAAGCTCCGCAGAGGATGGGTGATGCAACAGGATAATGACCCAAAGCATACAAGTAATTCAACAAAACAATGGCTGCAACAGCACAGAATACGCCTTCTGAAGTGGCCCAGTCAGAGTCCTGACCTAAACCCGATTGAAATGCCGTGACATGACCTTAAGAGAGCGATTCACACCAGACATCCCAAGAATATTGCTACACTGAAACAGTTTTGTGAAGAGGAGTGGTCCAAAATTACTCCAGATCATTGTGCAGGTCTGATCTGCAACTACAGGAAATGTTTGGTTGAGGTTATTGCTGCCAAAGGAGGGTCAACCAGTTATTAAGTCCAAAGGTTCACATACTTTTTCCTCCCTGCACTGTGAATGTTTACATGTTATGTGCAATTAAACCATGGCAACATCTAATGTTTGTGTATTATTATGTTCAGCAGACTGTTCTTCTATTGTTGTGACTTAGATGACGTTCAGAGCACATTTTATGCCCAATTCATGCAAAACTCCACTTAATCCTAAGGGGTTCACATACTTTTTCTTGCAACTGTATATGTCTATTTCCCAAAGACAACCTCTGAATATGACACTGAGCAGCACGTGCACTCAACTTCTTTGGTCGACCATGGTGAGGCCTTTTCTGATTGGAACCTGTCCTGTTAAACCACTGTTTGGTCTTGGCCACCATGCTGAAGCTCAGTTTCAGGGTCTTGGCAATATTCTTATAGTCTAGGCCATCTTTATGTAGAGCAACAATTCTTTTTTTCAGATCCTCAGAGAGTTCTTTGCCATGAGGTGCCATGTTGAACTTCCAGTGACCAGTATGAGAGAGTGAGAGCAATAACACTACATTTAACACACCTGCTCCCCATTCACACCTGAGACCTTGTAACACAAGTCACATGACAACGGGGAGGGAAAATTGCGAATCGGTCCCAATATGGACATTTTCACTTAGGGGTGTACTCCCTTTTGTTGCCAGCGGTTTAGACATTATTGGCTGTGTGTTGAGTTATTTTGAGGGGACAGCAAATTTACACTGTTATACAAGCTGTACACTCACTACTTTACATTGTAGCAAAGTGTCATTTCTTCAGTGTTGTCACATGAAAAAGATATAATAAAATATTTACAAAAATGTGAGGGGTGTACTCACTTCTGTGAGATACTGTAAATAAAATTACAATTTGAAATATGTTTTTAGCGAAAATGTGAAATATTTATTGGCTTGTAGACATATAATACACAGCTATTCAGTTTACTTTTTTATTCTTTTATAAAGTTGTCATATAGGCTTTTATAGATATCATTATTTCAAAGATTATTCTCTTTATGTAGTGGATGATAAAGATCATAGCTGGTTGGACAATGCTGAGGTCTCTGTGGCTATAGTTATTGCAGAGTGTTAAAGATACTATTTTCAATATTTAATATTGTATTATTACTATAGAACGCAGGTGGATGAATCTTTCACTGTGGCTATTATATTTTGACAGTCTGCCCCACTGGTTGGCAAAATACCTGAATCACCCCTGCATCTGACTGTATGCAGCCATTGTTAAGCTGAATATTTTACGAGTGGCTCCTTCGATCCTTTAATTAGGGCCACCCACCCACTGATCAGATTTCAGACAGTTGCTCAGGTGGCAGAATGAATTTGAACAGTTTATAGAAAGCTTTACTGTGAAGAAGTGTTTCCATATGTGGTGGTTAGACCTCTTTTTCTCCAGACACAAAGAGTGCTCCTCCCTGTTTTTTGTAAAGTCCCCAAAGTGAATAACTGCATCAAGTTCTGTAGATGGACTACTTATATATTTATGCATGTTGAAATACTCCATCTTCTAAAAGGGAGAATAGGCTCAGTTCAGCTAATTTTTTGTCATACCTGAGATATTGAAAGCTTCTTATCAATTGGTTGCCCTTCTCTGCACTCTTTCCAAACACCTAAAATAATTTTTTGTGAACTGGTGCCAGAAACTGAACTGCAATTCCAAATTAGGATTTACTAATGCTTTATCTATATCTCTTTTAATACAAGAAAGTATTTTGCTTGTTTTAGAAACTGGATGTTCTGGTAAATTAGGTCTATAATTTACCAGAATATCCAGATCCTTTGAGATTATGGACTCTCCCAATTGTACTCCCTCTAGAATGTATGATGCATTCATGTTTTTAACCCCCCAGTGCATAACCTTACATTTGTCAACATTAAGCCTCATTTGCCACATAGCCGCCCAAACAGTGGATTTAGATCTGCTTGCAAGTAAGAGACATCCTCTAATGACTTTATCCTAGATTGTAAGCTCTAACGAGCAGGGCCCTCAGTTTCCTTTTGCACCAAATTTTATTGTAACTGTAATGTCTACCTTAATTTTGTAAAGTGCTGCACAAACTGTTGGTGCTATATAAATCCTGTATAATAATAATTCTAGCTACATATTGTATAAACTACATATTGTAGCTTGGTGTCATCTGCAAGCAGAAATGGTACTTTTAATCTCTTTTCAAATCTTTTTTATTAGAATTTTTGTATGAAAAGGTACAAAAATACAAGGTTCAGGTTAGAAATTGGGTACACACTCCTTGCTCAACACTACATCCCAAATACAGCCTTAATGTTGCTATAGCAGATGTAAGAAGGCCACGGCCATGAACAAAGTATACATCAAATATAAATTGCAATAGATGGAGGTTACACGTCCAATCCAAATGGTTACACATATAACGTACTGTACTTACATAGTAGTTCACTTAACATTAATCATAATAAACCCGAATGTACGGGCCCATCCATACCAAACCTCTTGAGGATATTAGTATAACAAACAAGAAGGAAAATAGAAGAACCAAATAAAGAAGTTACCAGGAGGTAAGAGAAAAAGGAAGAAAGTGTGAACTAAAGCAACCCTAAGGGGAGAAGATAACAGAGCTCGCATCTTAATACTTAGGATTGTCTCTCACTCAACTCTAAACAATACTGTTATTTGACAAAAATATCTTGTTCCATCGGGACCACTTTGTTTCAAATTTCCCCATAGATTGATGGGTAACTGCTAAGGCTCTCTCGCATACATAATGTATCTGTACTCTGTGATTCACTTCTAAAATAGAAGAAATATTGTTTGATTTCCATTTAGTGGTAATAGCCGGTATAGCGGCAATTAAGGATATGACCTATTATGGTTCTATAATTACCCAGGAAAAGGTTCAAAGTGATATTAAGTAGGACTAAGCCCAGTGTTGGAATGGATGATGTGCCCGACATCCTTGAAAAAAAGAGCAAAGACCTCTTGCCAAAACAGCTGTAGGCGAGGACACTTCCACATAATATGGAGAATGTTCCCTTCACTGCCACAATTCCTCCAACACAGTGGAGAAACGTTGGGGTTCATTTTAGATAACTTATATGGGGTAAAGTAGCTTCGATGCAGTAATTTCAGGGAACATTCCCAGTGGTTGTTACAGTTAGTAATGCTCAAATTGCTACCCATGGCATTCTCCCATTCATTGCATTTGAAGGATCTTTGAAGATCCCTTTCCCACTTTCCTACACAACTTAGCTTGGATAGGTCATTATCATAATGTAGAAATTTATAGAACCAGGAGATTCCCTTTTTCAGTCTAATGGGATTAGTAATAGTATGCCATATCTTAGAGTCTATTTCCAGCCACGTCTTCAGACGGGTGCCAAGAAATCCTTTAATCTGCAAAAAAAGGGTGTAAGCCTTTGCTCGGGACAAAATTTCCTATATCGGCAAAAATGTTGTATCCAAGATCTCTTTGGGGTTTAGCGTTAAGATTTGGAATTAAATATTCATATGCAGAGAGTGGGATATGGATTTGAAGTTTGGGAGATAAGTCCGATAATTTATTTATACCTATTATCCAGGCTTCCAATGTTGCAGTGATAGACGGTAAGGAAATAGTTAAGATCTTGGAGGTAACCGATCTAGCCAAAAGAAGTGCCCGTAGGTCTTTATTAGGAACCACATTCCATTCTATCTGTACCCATAATTTGTCTGAAGGGGCAAACCATGCTGGAAGTTGGTCTAGAATTGTTGCATAATAATACATAGAGATTTCTGGGAGTCCCATTCCACCTTTGGATTTATGTTTGGTCAGTGACCTAAACGGAATACGCGGTTTCTTCCCTTTCCAAATGAATCTTTTTATGGCCACCTCTAGTTTATGGAAATAGTTCCGAGGGATGAGAATTGGGATAGTTCTAAAGTGATATAATATTTTGGGAAATATCAACATCTTGAATGCAGCTATTCTTCCAACCCATGAAATTTCAAATGTATCGATTCTTTGCATTTCCAACATAGTGGACTGGTACAATTTTTCAAAATTAATTTTAAAGGTATGTGCAGATGGAGCTGAAATACAGATACCCAAATAGTCCAATTTCTTGTTGGACCAATGGTAGGGAAATTTGTCGTTAAGGGAACTCATAGAACTCTTTCGTATAGCAATTGGGAGAGCACAAGATTTTGACATATTAAGTTTGTAATAAGATACTTCGCTAAAAGACTGCAGGGAAGTTGAGATTGCTGTGAGGGAGTTCACTGGGTCAGTGACGGTTAAGATGACATTGTCCGCAAACAGACCAATTTTGTGAGATGTGGACGCTACCTGGATTCCCGAGATCCGTGGGTTATTTCTCATCTCGGTGGCTAGGGGTTCCATCACCAACAAAAAAATGATAGGGGATAGAGGGCAACCCTGTCTTGTGCCATTAGTGATATTAAAGGGAGCAGACAGGGCATTGTATGTGAATACCTGAGCCGAGGGGACTGTATATAACGCCATAATAGCAGATTTTATTAAGCCGTTGATACCAAATTTAGTTAGAGTAGCATCTAGGTATTGCCAATGGACTCTGTCAAACGCCTTTCGGCATCTAGTGCCAAGAACACTGCCTGAAGTCCCCTTGACTCAACCAAATGTATCAAATTAAGAATCCTACGGGTCCCATCCACAGCCTGGCGGCCTTTTACAAAACCTACTTGGTCATCCTGAATGAGAAGAGGAGTAATATTTAATAAACGAGTTGTTAAGATTTTGGCATAGATTTTAAGATCTGTATTTAGTAGGGAGATTGGTCTAAAATTTTGAGGACAGTCAGGAGCTTTTCCTGGTTTGGGTAGAGTAACTATAATACCTCGCAGCATTTCAGGTGGAAATGTGAATGTAGAAACCGCTTCGTCGTAAGTTCTTTTAAGGTGAGGAACTAAAAGAGATTGGAATTCCTTGTAATATTCTGCAATAAAGCCATCCGCCCCCGGGGATTTCCCTTCAGGCAAGGCGTTAATAGCCGCACTTATCTCGCTGTCCAAAATGGGTTGATTAAGTCCTTCCAATTTTTGCTGCGTTAATTTAGGTAGTGGAAGATTATGTAGGAATTTATGGATCAGCTCTGATGTAGGCTGCGGAGTGGTAGGATCCTCCTTCAAATTATATAATTGGGAAATAGTAGGATCTAAATGCATGCGCTATTTTGTTGGGGTGATAAGTAGGTTTATTCGACACAGGATCCAGGATTGATGCTAATTTGGATTTAGATTGCCTAACAGTGAGATATCTCGCAAGCATTTTACCCGCTTTGTTCCCTTGTGTATAAAAAGTTGTCTTGGCTTTTTTTTTTAGATTTAA